CGATTTAACAAATTTTATTGAGTACATGTTATATGCCAGACCCTGTTCTAGGCTCTAGCAGTACATAAGTTTAAAACCCAAAATAAAAATTGCCTGCCTTTATGGAGCTTATATGTTAGTAGATTTTCAGCAAGGGAAGTAGGTGTTTACTTTAGAAAGACCATTCTGGCTGGGGTGTTGGAGAAAAGATTGGAGGGGAACAATATTTGAGGTAGCTCAGTCTTACAACTCCCTCTTCTTCAAGATTCACAGCCTTCCTCTGACTGGTATGACTCAGTTGGTTGGGCCTCGTTCCACAAGGCAACCGGTCCCTGGTCCGAATCCGAGTCCTGGGATGCGGGGTTAGTCTCCTGGCCTGGGTATGTGAGAGCCAACCCATCTCACATCAGCATTTCTCGCCCTCTCCTTCTCCCTCCCTTCCCCTCTGCCTAAAAATAAATTAATAAAATTGAGAAAAAGATTTACAGCTTTTCCCCAGTTTCATGTCCCTCCTTGGGCACCTCCTCTTTTGTCAGGGACCCCTCTGTCCCCTTTATCCTCCAGCTGTCCCTATTCTGAAAGCCCCAACCCTGATGTAACATTCTATACCTGAGCGTCCCAGAGCTGCAGAAGAAAACGATAAAAATATTCACATCAAAACGACTACATGTTGGAACAGCCAATCCCAGCCACTTCCTCAACTCTGCTGACAATTCTATTTCTCCAACAAGTTACCACTCTCATTCCTTTCAGTGGCTATTTGAATCTTAACCATTCTCCTTAATCCTCAACCCCATCTTGACCCCTTCTCTCTCAGGAGATGACTTAGAGACTGTCAGGTAGCAACCACTTGTCTCAACTTCTAACCTCTAGGTTTACCACAAATGCATCGGCTTGTGCATTCACCCTCCCAAAGACAACCCAGGCAACTCCACCCTCCTGTGCCCGGATCCATCTTCTCTGGGACATTTTTCATTATCACCTCTCCATCTCCTTTATCTTCCCCTTCAACATATGAGCATATTTAAGCCTTTCCCATCTGAAAAAGAAAAGACGTAACAAAAATCTTCCCCTTGATTCTGCATTCCCCCTATTTACTGCCATTCCCATTAATTGCCAAGCTTCTAGAAAGAGTGGGGTGTGTGTGTGTGTGTGTGTGTGTGTGTGTGTGTGTGTGTGTGTGTGTGTGTTAAGATTTTATTTACTTACTTTCAGAAAGAGAAGAAGGGAGTGAGAAAGGGAGGGAAACATCAATGTGTGGCTGCTTCTCATGCGACCCTTACGAGGGACCTTGCCTGCAACCCACGCATGAGCCCCGACTGAGAATCAAACTGGCGACCCTTTGGCTGCCAGGCCAGCATTCAGTCCACTGAGCCACGCCTGCCAGGGCTCATGTGTCTCTTCTACTCCTTAACCCACTTAATCCGGAGCCTGGTTTAACTATGACTATTCTTACACCTAAACAGTCATAGTTCTGGTACCAGTGACTCTCTTAATATTTTTAGAGTATTTACGTATTTATTTTTAGAAAAAGGGAAGGGAGAGCATGAGAAACATTGATGTGAGAGAGAAACTGATTGGTTGCCTCTCACATGCACCCTGACCCGGGATTGAACCCCTAAACCCAGGCATGTGCCCTGACTTGGAATTGAACAGGTGACCTTTCAGTTTTTGGGCCAACACTCAACCGAGTCACACTAATCAGGGTTAATGGGCAATTTTTAGCCCTCTCCTCCTGCATGTCCCTGCTATACTTGTGTTCTCATCACTTTCTCTCACCTTCCTTTTTGAAACTCTGTGGTCTTGGTTTTTCTATCAACTTGGTTATTCTTGATTTCTTTTGCAAGTCTCTTCCTTCCTCTATATGTGCATTTAGGAGATCTCATCCATATCCATAACTTTGTTGACCACCTATAATGTGAAGAGTACGAAACTGATATCCCTTGTCCACACCTTTACTTTGAGTTTAGTTTCATAAATCCACTGTCTACTAGACATCCTCACCAAAACATCCTATAGACACCACAAGTCCAACATGCCTAAAACTAAACTCAAGATTGCTCCCCCAAAACCTAGGCTCTATCCCTCACTTAGTGAATGACACCATCTGCCACCAATTCTTGAGGTCAAGTGGGGAGTAATTCTATTTTGTTTTCAACTTTTTTGATTGATTTCAGAGAGAGAGAGGAAGTGAGACAGAAAAACATCAATTTGTTCCACTTATTTATACATTCATTGGTTGATTCTGTTTTATTTTTATTTTTGTTTATAGAGCTTTTTAAAAATTTTTTATCCATTTATCAGATAGAGAGAGAGAGAGATCCACCTACCATTCCACTTAGATTGTGCCCTTGATTCCTTTATGTGCCCTGACTGCAAGATCATACCCACAACCATCTGGAAAGAGCTATGATTTTTGGTTGAGGATGGCAGCCAGAGCACAGTGACCCCAAAGAGAAAGATCCTGAGGGGTAAATATCCATCCCTTCCTGGCCTCCCTCTTCCCAGTCTCCTCTCATGGCTCCCGTTGGCCAACCCCTACGAGAAAGCCAGGGGGCCCAGGATGGATCTGAAGGGGCAAAGGGAAGGCATACAGCGCATCTTCCAAATCTTCCTGGGTAATATGCCAGCAAGTTTTCTTTTGATCACATCACTCCCAGCTCCACTTGTCTATACTCTGGATTCTCTGTCACTTACAGGACAAAAATCTAAGCTTATTGGCATGCCCTGGTTTCCCTTATAGCAAAATTTTCTCTCTGATGAAATGCATTGGAAACCCTTTGATATGATCCAGGAACCCAGACCTGTCTCCTCTCAGACCTTTCACTCCAGCAACATTGAAGCACTGACGGCCCCTACACTCCTCTGTTCCCTCAGCTTCTGTGCTTAGCCTGATGACAGGCACAGAGTAAGCTGGCGTGGATGTTTGTGTTGTGAATATGTGATAAAAGAGTGAGTGAGTGAGTGAGTGTTTATCCCCGTGGCTCTTGAGGATCAGGAATAGGATCATATATACATTATGATAAAAGTGCAGAGCAAGCTGCCTGTCCACATCAAAATGGTTCACTTCCGTTGTCTACTTGGCCTTCACCATAGCCTGGGTGGGAGGGGAAGCTGATATTTTACTGATGCTCAGGGGGGGCAGTGGACTACCCAAGGCCGCATCCAGTGAGTAGAGAGAACTACAAGCCTCAGTCCCCTCTTTTGGGCTTCTCCTCCCATTGCTGCACTGCAGTTAATGGTCCTTTCCATTTGCCCAGATTTCATCTTATATGAGAGTAAAGCATTTCCCAAGAAATCCTTCTGAATCATGAAGTCAGTTTTTAAATGCTTTCTCCCTTGTGTGGGTCTTTCTTTGGGCATTCAAATTCCCTTTCTAATAGTTATCATCTTACTGATCTCTGGAGTCTCTTGCAATTCTACCACTCTATTAATCTAAGAATTGTGTTGAGTTTGTTGGAGTTTCATAATAATGAAGAAATTTAAAAAGGCCTTTCTGATCTTTCTTTCTCTCTTCCTTCCTTCCTTCCTTCCCACCTTCCTTCCTTCCTTCCCACCTTCCTTCCTTCCCACCTTCCTTCCTTCCTTCCTTCCTTCCTTCCTTCCTTCCTTCCTTCCTTCCTTCCTTCTCTGCAGAACCCAAAATAGACTGTAATGGTAGCACTTTCACAAAATATTTCCCTGAGACCAGGGAAGGGGAAGGTTGGCAGATGTTTGCACAGGACCGGGGCTGGGAAGTCCTGCGCCTCTGAAGGAGGCTCGGATTCTTGAGACCCTGGATACCTTAGGGGGATAGCTGAGGAGAAAGACTGAGAACCAGCTGTTGTCACAGGCTGGCAAGAAAGAAAGGAGGGTCCTGGAGGGAAAACGAAGTTCATGTTTAGAGGCAAATGTACTTTGAGATACATAATAATCACAGGTATTATGCAAACCAAATACAAATGCGGAGCTGGTCATCTATTGGTTTCTTTTAGGTGGGGCCTCTTGGAAAATTCTATAGACCGCCACTCAGAGAAAGGTACTTGGAGTCAAAAATGTTAAATACGAGGATATAACATACTGTATGAAAGGGTTTTTTTTCTACCATAATTGGGGTAGAGGATCTGCCACCTCACCTTCCCTCTCAGGTTGCTGATTGTTATTCTGAGGCTCAGGTCCGACGACCCACCTGGGCAAAGAAAGAAACCAAGGAGGCCCAGTGTGACGACGCCGACACAGGTTCCCCCAACCCGACCTCAGACCTCAAGCAGGGGCTCTGCCGGGCATCGCTACCTTAAAGGACTGGGGAAATTCCTCAAAAGGATAACAGACCTCAAAACTGTGTCCTGTCATTTCCAGCAGAATGACTTGGCATTCATTTGACACAGCGCAAAGGAAAAAGTCACAACCATCTGCAAAAACCCTCACCCGAGTGGGAAGTGGAAATCTTGGCTCTTGGATTGTCCAAGCAAAACTTGCCGCTGGCGCGTTTCTCCTCCAGGCGCACTGGCTGGGAACGAGGGAGTTGGAGGGGCGGAGAGAGTGGGGGAGGGGAGGAGGATGGGAGAGTAGGGGGAAGGAGAGGGGAGAGGAGGAAGGGAGAGGTGGAGGGAAGAAGAGATGGATGAGAGGATGAGGTGGAGGGGAGCGGAGAGAGGGGAAGGGGAGGAGACAGTAGGAGAGCGGGGGAGGGGAGGAGGAGGGGTGGAGGAGAGCGGCAGGGGGACGTGAGGGGAAGCGCGGAAGGCACAGCTACGGGCCCGCCCCGTCAGCCGCAGCGTTTCGGCGAGTTCGGCCCTCGGGCCGGGGCTAGGGCTGGCGCTCTGGGGGCCGTGGGTCCAATGCTGTCCTGCGCGGGCCGGGCGGTGTGGTCGAATCTCGCGTCGCCGTGCAGTGCCCTGGGTCCCCGGGAGATGGCCTCTGTGCTCTCGTCCGCTGCTCCCGCTATTGTCTCCCGCGGGGTTGCCTGACTGCGGGCTGCGCACGCTCCTGGCCGAGACGACTTTCTTTCCCTTGAGCTGATCCCGGCGCCCCTTCCTGTTTCCCGGCTGCTCGGGACCGCTGAGCCCGGAGAGGGGGCGGCGCGGAGGGCTGTGCGCTGCGGGTCCGCCAGCGCAGGGCCGGAGCCGGGGCCGCCGGGAGCTACCGGGAGCTACCGGGCGAGCTGCCGCGGTCGCGGCTGGGTCTCGCAGGAGAGCCGGCGAGGAGCACAGGTAGGACGCACACCCGGCTGAGAGCAACCGCCAGGGGGATGGCCCGGCATGGAGGGAGCGGAGGTCAAGGGCTGTCCCTCTAACATGGCAACAGCCAAGGCACAACAATAGCAGGAGCCAAGGGTGCCCTCGCGGGCTGAGCGGCGGATGCCGCGGGGGCGACAGCTCCAGCTCGCCGCGCCGAGCAGGTTGCCGGATCACCACCCACACCCCCACACCCCGATTCCGCTCCAGCAGTTTCGGGGCATCTGGAGCCCCGGATTCGCCCTTCCCCACCCTTTCTCTCTTAAACACACTTCCTGGCTTCCAGATGTTAGGCGATGTGAACCAACCAATGGTTTGTTGGTTTGTTTGTTTGTTTGTTTGTTTAAGATGAGAAATAAAAGGCAAAACCAGCCTGGCTTGGGGGTAGTCGGGATGGTGCTTTCTCGTGCAGTAGGTAAAAAGTCATCATCTAGCCTAAGGAATATATACATTAACACACACACACACACACACACACACACACACACACACACACACGGACGACGGGGTTTCTCCCTTCTCCCTTATAAGGATACTGCAGCAGAAGGAGAAAGCCTGGGAGAGGGACCCTCAAGCCCCGAGTTCCCGGCCCCCCGGGGTGGCGCTGCTCTCCTGGCCTGCACTTGTCTCTCGTTTTCAGTTCCCCCGACAGCGGTGGCTTTGATGCTGGGAGCCACGCAGCAGCAGGAAGCCCAAGGAGACTGGGCTGCTGCGGTGGGTGGGGTGGGGTGGGGTATGGTGGGGAGCCCAGGGGTTTAGCTTAGCAGGGTCCTGGGTGGTGGGAAGAGGTTACAAACGTCTGAGATTAATGAGTGCACACACCCTCCTTGGCTGAGGTCTAGTTGTGTGAGTGCGGTGAATCTGCCATTGCTCTTAATCCTTTAGGCCAGCCTTCTCTCCCTGCATCTCCACCCTCTTTTGGGGTCTTTGTGACTTCCCTGCCCCATCCCTCTCCAACCGGCCTGGGATGGAATTTATTGTCTCTGGCTGCCTGATGTTTTTTTCTCTATTCCATTGTGGAATTTTGTCCCCTGGTCTGGCTGGTCCCAGCATAGCACCAAATTCTTTAGCACATAGCTAGCTACTGCTGCTCCCAAAAGTGGGCCAACACTGCCGCTCCTGTCTCTAAACTACCTGACTGGGACATGGCCAAGCAGATGTAAGCAATTTGCACAGAATTCCAACCCTGGAGCAGTTACTAAATGAAAACTTACTCTATTGCCATACTGAACCTTGGAAAGATATTGGAAGAGAAATGGCCCCGGGGTGGGGGGCAGGGGTTAGGGGGAAGTGGGTAGCAACTCTGATCCCCCAAATACTCCCTCCCCAACTGCAGCTGTGGATCCCAGAGCAGAGCAGAGTAGAGCAGTTCAGAGCTGCAGAATTGCAGCTCCTCCAGAGCCTGGCAGTCCCATGTGGGGTTGCGTCCACGGAAAAATTAAGTCGAGGCACATTTTATAGCTCTCCCTGGCAGCCAGCGTCTGAGGAGATGGTGGCTGCCGCTCCTTTGGTCTATGGGTGAGCCCAAGATTTCATTTCCATGGCTCTGAATTTACTGCTGAGTGTGCATGGGTGTGTGTGCCTGCATCTGATCAAGCTCTCAGCCCTGGCCAGAGGGAGCAAGTCCATTTCCCTCTCCCTGGAAGCATGGATGAGGAAGGCCTATGGGGGTGTGCTGGGTGAGGAAGGCCTCGGGCCTTTCTCTGTGGTGTACCTTTGGAGTTGCCCCATGGCCTAGACTGCCTGTGGTGTTTGCCGTGACCCAGTGGTGCTCTAGCAGATCTCCCACACCCTGTGGGCCTTTGGTTCCCACTCTGTGGTTCCCTCATCCCACCTGGGCCTTGGTGCTTTGCAGATGTCTCATGTCTATGGTCCTTCAGCCTGGACATCTCTACTCAAGCCAGCAGGGGAAAATGAGGGGTCTCTGTTCCCTCTGGGGGCTTGTACCTGGCCATAAACTTCAGGTTCCTCATGCTCCCAGGTTATGGACTTGGACATGATAATGTGGAGTAGCAGATAAAACAGCGGTTAGGTTCAACGTCAGAAGGTGTGGCTGGCTTTGAGTCCTGGTGTGACTTATTTCCTAACTGTGTGAGCATGGACAACTTGTGAACCTGTCTATGCCTTAGTTTGCATATCTATATAGCTATAAAACAGGAAAAAATAATGCTCTTGGCTCACAGGATTGTTTTATAGATGAAATGCACTGCTTACCATGAACTGAATAAAATCCTGTGTGCAAAAGCACTCCAAAAACTGCAAAGTAGTATACGAATGTCAGTTATTCATCCTGAGTTTATTTAGCCTTGGTGACAAGGAAAGGAGAGCAGGTGGGGATGGGGGGAGGGGTTGGAGGAAAAGGACATGGAATAGAGAACGTTCCAGAACCTTTCCTTTCTGGCCAAGGGAAGAGTGATGTAACAATACTGAGGTAACTGTTCCTTGGGCATTTCTCTTTGAATAGGATTGGCAAGATGGGAACTGGGAGAAGAGAAAAGACTGCTTAATGGTATTTGTAGAGAATTGGGGAGAGACATACACCCCTCAAAGGCTGGCTGCTGCCTATAGGTAGGGTAGTGCTAAAGTGGCATATAATGTAATAGCTAACACCCATGTCAGCTAGCTAGTAAATGACAGAGGAGTGATTTGAAGCAGGCCGTCTCACCCTGTGCTTATAACCTTGATGGTAGTATCAGATGAGCATTGGGACTTTGGGGAGCAGAAGGAGCAGCAGAGTTGCAGAATTCATTCATATTGGATTCCTTGGCTTGAATGCCCATGAGACTGAACATACTAGATAACAAGCTTGTCAAGGACAGGGACCCGGCCCCAGTCCAACACAGCATCTCCTTAATTCCCAGTTGTTTCAGGGCTGAGGCATATGTGTATGAATTCCTTGGGCTCTTGCCTTACTGGCTTTTTTCTGCTTTCCCAGTCATATCCTTGCCTTCAGTTTAAGACTGGGGATAATGAGATCAAGTAATTTTGCCACCTTCTGGGCAACTCTAGTAAGAGATTTGGGACCTGGGGGCCCTGGGGGCTCTGGGATAATCGAGCCAAATCTTTTGTTTTGGTATTTCCATATCTGCTTTATTTTGTACCTGTTTTATAAAATGAGAAACTATTCTTGCATTTCCTATGATCACATTACTTGCCAGTTAGAAGAAATAGATATGTACTTGTCTTGTCTCAGGTCACACAAACTAACCTTGAACTGAGATCAGAGTAACCATGGAGCCCTGCAACTACTGAGACCTCTGTTGAGAGCCCGGTTTTTCTGAACGCAGAGCATCTGCCCCATTTCTGACCTGCCATGCTGCTATGTTTTCCGAAGGACTAGGTGTACCATTGGGACCAAGAAAGGAGAGACTGCTTGCAAGTTGGATATTAGAAGAACCTGAGAGAAGGCAACTGTATTTTCCACACAAAACATTATAACCAGAGATGTTAGATTTCCGCTGTAGACTTCAGGAAAGCAATTTTTTTTTTTTTAATTACAAGAAAAGATAGATACAGTTCCCTGACAAGAAACTTTGAAAGATAGAGGGGTTCCAAGGGGTTGGCAAATTCTCTCAAGTGCAGTTTTGACTATGCTGTTGCAGATGATTGCAACAGGAAGGAGAAAAAGAGCCACTTGAGCAGAGATTCGAGTACCCAGAAAGGCAAGAGGACAGCTGCTGGCATTGAGTGTCCATCTACCTGTAGCTTTTAAAACATTATCTTCATTTTCGTCTTCCCCTCTCAACCTTGGAGGAAATGGGTGATGATTAAATTATCTGTGTCCCCCTTTACAGTTGGGAGAACTGAGGTTTATATTAGGTTTAGATTTCAACTAAAAATTAAAAAACATGCCTAAGATATTACAACAAATTAGAGACAGGCTGAAGTTTGAATCTAGGGCAGGATTCCCTGTATGCTGCACCAAAGGGACCTGTGAGAAAAAAGTCAATGAGGCCGAAGTTCTGAATGAGACAGGGCTTTCCCAAGAAGCAGATGACAACAGAAAGTGTTCTTCTGAAAGTTACCTGTGGAAGAAGATACGATCACAAAGGGATACAAGTCTGCCAGATAATATTAAAAAGAGCTCGTTTATTCATTCAGCACATGGGTGTTGACTACTTACTAAGGCCCTTAGGTACTTTCAGTGCCTAGGGTAGATAGATTTCTAGAACTTACCGTTGAGTGGGGATGCAGACAAGTAAATAGCTGTGGCAGGGGTGGGGGGCGGTGGAGGGTGCCTTGAGAATTCATACATGGGGAATTTGGGGTGATCTGACTTCCTGGAAGGAATTGTTAGCCGAGATCTGAACAGTGAGTAGGAACTGGGGTGGAGGATGAAGTGAGTGGCGAAAGAGCTGAGCTGAAAGTAGTTTAATCTGACCACAGCCACCGAAGGAGTTTTCATTTGATCTTTTATTCATTAATTTTTTCACGCACTGGTTATGCATCAAATGTACACGATGTACCTAATGCTCTCCTAAGTGCGCACCAGTGAAGAAGGCAGACAAAATCCCTGTCACCTGGTATTTATGTGCTTGGAGAACTTAGTTCACTAAGAATGAATTAAACCAATCTCCTGTATTTTACTGACAAGGATTCTCTACTGGTAGATCAGGAAATTACTTGTAGATATACTCTGACTGAACTCAGGGGAAGTTTGGGAAGGACTCTCGTGATAAATCTATGGACAATAGAGGGTGGGTTCATTAATGGTTGGTTAACTGTCCCTTCAACAAAAACATCTGCAGCAGAGCCTCTGCTCTTAACATTCTCAAATTCATTCATTGATTGAGAGATGGGATAAATTCAGCATAAGGTTAAGAGTATGGCTCTGGGATCAGTATTCCTTGGGTTAAAAATCTAATTTCCCCACAAACTAGTTGTTTGACCTTGGGAAAGTTACTTAATTTATCTGTGCTTCCATTTCCTCCTACAGAAGATGGGAGAAATAATAGTACCAAGGGGAAAAAGACTGT